CACCCCAACAAAAGCCCCTCTCAGGTTCTATCCAAGCGGATTTACTGACCACCCACCTCACGGTTGTTAGTTGTGGGTCACCACTGCCCTCTGCTGGCCACTCAGGCACTAGCATCCACTCCAAGCAAATGGACTCCAGACACATTCACCATCACTGGGCACAGAAACTTCTACCCATCTCTCACCTTAAGTCAGGTGTCAGGGCAGGATAAGCAGAGATGAACCCATGGACACAGTGTGTCAGAGAAGGAATCACTAAGGAATTCAGCACCGCTCACCAGAATTTATACGTGAAACTTCCAAAGGAAATGCCCTTTCTATCCACCTTGGGGGTTGATTTGATCTCACCCTCAAGAAAAATAGTACCTGACCCCATAACTTCCCCTTACCCCTTCTCGTATGCCCTCTCTTTGTCCCCAAAGGAGGGCCCGACTGAGATGACCTAGAACCATCCTCCCAAAAATGAGAAAGCTTTGGTTCCCATGGCTTTTTCTGTCACATTGCAGCAGGTGACTGGAAGTCCCGTGTGCCCTCTGAAACAAGGTAAACTCCCCTCAACTCTTAGTGCAACACCCTGCAAGCACCCACGCCTTTAAAAAAAAATTTTTTTTATTGGTTCTAGAGAGAGGGGGAGAAAGAGAGGAAGAGAAACATCGATGTGAGAGACATCAATTGGTTGCTTCCTGCATATGCCCCAACTGGACACCAAACCCACAACCCAGTTGTGTGTCCTGACTGGGAATCAAACCGACACCCTTTAGGTTTGCAGGATGAGGCCCAACCAACTGAGCGGTATCAGACAGGGCAAGCACTACTTGGTACCTTTCAAAGATGGCAGTGATGTTGACCTCTGAGGTAGGGTTAATCGCTAAAAAAGACCTAACCAGTATAGCTGCTTAATTAGCCAGGGGAAGTCCAGCCACTCCTGCTGTCAGATGGTGCTGGGTCAGGCTGTATTTGTGAGCTGTTTCTACAAACCTCCAAAGGGGCCCCAAGCTTTGGAGCTTCCAAAGCTACCTTAATTTCCTATGGAAAACCTCAAAGCTGAGAAAGCTGGCAGTTTGTGGAGCGGTTGGTCCGGAGGTCAGCAAAGCTAAACTCTCCCTACTCATTCTCCATCTCTAGGGGCCCTACGATTTATGGTAGGGGTGTACCTTTTATGAATCAAGATTATTCAGGACTTTGGAAGAAATTAAAATAGAACAAGTGGCTCAGATCAAGGAGAGATCGGTGGCTGGGGAAATGGTAGCTACCACACCTCATATCCTCGTAAGTCTGAAAAGGAGCACATTTACCAAGGCTGGCACTGCTCTGCCCTAGACAGCAGTCACCGGAGGCCTGGCTGGGCACTTAAGTGGCTTCTTCTTGGCCTTTCCAAACGTAATCAACCATTTGGTTTTAGAGTACATTGTGTAGGGCAATCCTGAATCCTAGCTCTGAAAAAGGCCATTCTACCAATAACTTCTATAAGAGGTTAAAAACAAAAAACCCAGGCAATTGAAAATTATTAAGCTGCTGTCTTGATGCTAAGATATTTATACAGCTCTACATCTACTAAGAGGCAGATTACACTTTGCCTCTGATCAGGTGCAGCTCCACAAACATTTCAAAGATGAAAAGTGATCCTTTTTAACAAAAATGTCTACTTCTGCCTCAACCAGCCCAGGAGCAGTCACTGAGAAAGGGAAAAAGCTGCTTGGTGATTGTGTTATATATTCAGTCACTGAGGCCCAAGACCTTAAAGGCTTTAGTAGTGAGTCCCAACTTTTGAACTTTCCCACTTATATTGACTAAGATAAAGTAATCGCGTGGCCAGTTTTCATATTTTAAGGCCATCTCAGGAATTGGCCCAAAAATATTCAGAGGGGCCTGATTACTAACCACTTAGTAATCGGAAAAAGATTAGGAAAATCCCTTAGGAAAAAGATTTAGAGGCAGGCTTCTGCAGGGTCAAGAACTCAGAGCTACTTTTCATTTAAGTGCATACACAGCATAAGGAAATTAAATAGGGAGCAGGTTCCAGGAGTGTCCCCAAGGAAGTTTATTTTCTCCTCTTAGATGTGTATGAATGTATATTTGATAGCTTACTACCTTCACAGTTATTTTCATATTAAAAATCTGCCTTCTCATATAACATCACACCCACCAAAATAACCCATCACTTGAAATAGACTGTTTACAAATGGAATCAAAAGGAGATAATGGGTCCTTAACACTGGTGACAATTTTCTGCAGGGATAATAAAAAATGTTTATTCCAGAGTAGGAAGAAAAGATATATTCATAACCCAGAAGACCCAGGAACCAAAGAAAGTTCTTCTATAGTTCTTCTATTAACACCTAGCCACTGAGTGTTAAGGGGTACTGTACAGCAGACTGAGACAAAATCCAGTTTCACTTTAATTGCAAACAAGGGTCAGTTTATAGGCATTTCCAACTGTAATTTAGAATACATTTCTCCTGACAATCTACCTAGGGCTCAAAATAACTTGTTGAAGCAAAGAATGACTAAAAAAGCTGAATAATGGAGAAGCAGAAAGACTGCCTCTATTGCTAGATCAGGGCAGAGAACATGGGTCCCTCTCTCTGACCACCACATCCTTCTCTTTGCAGCCCTCCTTCCAAGTCTTTGTACTACAAAGTGCAGAAACCAGCCAGTAGGACAACGCTATCTTTGACCACTGGCCAATAACAGAGCATGCAAGTACCTGAAATCATGTAGCTTTACCAAAAGAAACTACTCCAACTATAACTTGACAAAGCATTCCACATAGTTAAGCAGCAAAACAAAGGGAATCCATACAGTAGACATTCCCTTGTAACCAATGCCTTACCAAGATCATCAGGGTTACTACAAATGCGTTTTCACATGTGATAAAGCCAAGATAGTCCTGTAAAAAGCAGTCTGATCCCTGGAGTGACACTTTTTTTTTGAGAGTGGCCTTCCTGAGGCTTCATTCTGACCAAGGCATGTATACATAGACTGGACCAAATATGGTCCATACTCCAATGAGCAAAACCAAACTGCGTTGAAGAGTCTAATGTGACCATGTAAACCCTTTCATTAGGCACCTGTACACCAGAATAATGGTTTTCACTTAGCTCTTAAAAAAATACTTAAGAGCACTTTTGCAAAAGTATTTACATTATGACCTAATAAATGGTAATTAATGGGCTAGGCTCTAAGATGACACAGAACTGGTCGTCAGGGCCTGTGCAACTGACCCCTAGTCAATGATATAGTTAACAGCAAGTCAAAAACTGATGAATTCCCACTTGCCCATGATACTGAGAATACAACAGGGTAATTTTAGACTACAGCTCATACCTTTGCAAGGTCAAGAATGCTAGAAATACTACTAAGTAGCCAGCAGCTAAAATGCAACACTTTTAAGAGTTTTCAGGTTATGTTAAACTTTAGTCTGAGATGGAGGAGTAGTGGACACTGAGAGATAAGACAAGTTGAACAAGTTAAAAACCAAAAGCAGTGGACATTTATTCCTCAATTTTTGTGCAAGAGTGTAAAGATGCATTTGAAAGAACCTGATGGCTAGTGAGCACCAGCCATGGCCTTCAGGCTGGCTCGGTTTACAATTAGATTAGTAGAGGGAAAAAAAGGTAACTTGCCTAGTTCACATGAATGATGTTTCTGGCAAACACAGTTGTTTACAAGTTTCAAACTACATTTTACTAGAGTCAAAGAACGACTTCAAAAAGCCACATACAGTACAATTTAAAACTGAATGAACATCCTGCAATGTTAGTGCAAAGTAATTAATGTAGACTATCCAATACAAGATTGTGCTCATGTTTCCCAGGTTTAGTCAATGTTGCTCTTTTACAATCACAGAAGCTTAACTTACCAAATAGCAATGCCTTTGTTTTATGTCCTATGTACCAAGGGAATGTCACAAGATTTTGGTGAAATGCAGCTTAGTTTCATTAATGAAGCAAATTTCTTATTTAGTTTAACAGTCATGTTCCTGGAATACTGCACATATAAGTTTCATGGAAAAGCTTTTAAGCTTATGCCCTTATCTTGTTCAGTAAAATTACTCTCAAGATATCCTTTTTACTATGTAAACTGGAATTGTTTCATGGTTTTGAAAAGTAACCATTATAAATGAAAATATTTCATAGGTGGGGGATAATCCACCACTAATCTCAGCTAGATAAAGTTCTTAAAATCAAAAAGCCCAGTCACACAAAATTATATGTAATGACTGTAGTAATCAGTTTATTACACAGATTAATCATTCTTGAACGTACAAGCTCCAGAGGAGCAACTGGGTCTTTAAATATACACAAGTATTTCCATCAAATGAATTTTCACCCTTTTCCAGAGAGACCTAAGCAGTTAAAAACATAAGAAAAATAAGAGCTATTAGCTATATTAACTGAGAAACCACATACAAACCAAAGAATATGAAAGAGAAAAAGAGGGGCTGAAAGGACAAGGATTAAAGGGTGGGGAGATGTAAGAGGTGGGAACAAAGCCCATCACAATTTATGTACTAATAGCTCCAATCCAGTTAAACTTAGACCGTAAAATGGTAGGTTTTAATCTGGTTGGTCATAACTTTCACCTAAGACGTAGGTCCTTCAGCATAAATGAATACAGAAACAGCTTCATGATCTTCGCCTTGCTTTTCATATGTTTTGAGTTAAAAGAATTTCACTTAAAAACCATCTCCTATACGTCAGTGGAGCTTTTCTTCCCCATCCAAGCACACACCATACCCACCACCCCGCACCTTGCTGTTATCCAAATTTAAGTCAATAGGAAAGCTTTTAGTCTCACACCTAGGTTACGCCTGGAGAACTGGCTTGTCACACACACACTTCTCTGCTAGGAGGCAATGTTGGTACAGAAGTACAGTATTTCTAGTTTGTTGTTCCAAGTATGTACAACACGCAGAACTGCTGTATCAGGTAAACATGTGCACAGGGGAAGATGAGGCGTGGGCTCATAGAAAGCAGTCAAATGGAAATCAAAAGGACTTTCTCTTTCAGAGTTCCCCTATCTTTATTTGTAGATGTTATCCAATAATTTCTTTAATTACATCGCATACTTCTGAGTCCATTCCCGAGCTATTCTGTTGTACCTGTACACACAAAGAGAAGCTTAGCTTTAACATAGGTGAGGAGTCAGTTAGAAGGCAACAGATTTCATTCATTATCCCATGTAGTAACTCCCCACCCCCTGCCCCCAGTATTCCTTTATTAAAAACCCGTATAGTAACTTGAGGGGGTAAATGTACCATACACTCACACAAAGCTATCTTTTTACCCCAAATTTTAATAAGAATTTATTCAATGATAGTGGGAAAAAAGCTGTAAAATGAAGAACAATGCCCTGTAAATGCTACTAATAAAGGATTCTGATTAAATTTTAGCATTTGCTGGTGTACCCTTGTTCTATACTTGACTGATCTTATTTCTAAAGATCTTTCACCCATGTTCATTTATTTGGAGTTCTTTAAACTATATACTTCTACATTATATGATTCTTGAAAACATATACTAATAGTGATTAAATTGATATAATACTTTCCTGTCTTAATAAAATAACTAGTTCTGGAAAAATGCATTTTAATAATTTGGTTTCTAAAACAAGTGACTCTATTGCTCCCAAAGAACATTATAGTAGTAAAATAAGCAGGGCAAAGGATTCTATAATTCTTTGATTTATAGGGCAAGTTCTTCTGAACATTGTCACCACAATGGCTTAGGAAATGTCTTTTGGTAGGCATTTGTGCCCACAACTCTAATATTTGACAAAACGGTTCTCCAATAAAAACACTTTATTTGAATAAAATCACAAATAGAAAAAAAAGGGTGACCTAGTTTTATTCTGAATGTACCCATAAATACATGACTACAGATACTATTCATACCAAAACACAGACAAAATTCAACTAAGAAACTGCTGTTGCAATCCCCCACTGCCCCATTTAAAAAAACTGTATCCAGCCCTGGCTGGTGTGGCTTAGTGGATTGAGCACAGGCCTGTGAACCAAAAGGTCACTGGTTCTTCCCCATCAGGGCACATGCCTGAGTTGCCAGGCAGGTCCCCAGTTGGGGGCTTGCCAGAGGCAACTGATAGATGTTTCTCCCACATGAATCTTTCCCTCCCTCTCCTCTCTCTAAAAATAAATAAATAAAATCTTTTAAAAAAGCTAAAAATATCGTATCTATATGCCTTTCTCTTCCAACAAAATTCAAGTAATTCTTTAATCCTTTAAAAAGTTAAAATCCTAACTTTAACTTTAGAACATTATCTACTCTTGCCATCTATTTTCCCTATTTTATTGAATATACAAAATAAACAAAAAAGATAACACTTTTAATTACTATTTTTCTATCCTGACCATTTTCAATAATTCATAGTAGAATTCTAAAATTTGTAAATGTTCTTCTTTTATTTTTGAAGGAAATTTGGGATTTTCATGTCTTATGGTGTTTATTCACTTTTATTTTTCAGATTATACCAAATGGTAAAAAACTGTCCTTTTCCCATGAATTTTCAATAACCTAAGACAAAAGGGCTTTTTTAAAAAAGGTTTTATTTGTTTATTTTTTTAGAGAGGGAAAGGGAGGGAGAAAGAGAGGGAGAGAAACATTAATGTGTGGTTGCCTCTTGCACGCCCTCTCCTGGGGACCTGGCCTGCAACCAAGGCATGTGTCCTAGCTAGACTGGGAATCAAACTGATGACTCTTTGGTTCATAGGTCAGCATTCAATCCACTGAGCCACACCAGCTAGGGCATTGATGCAAAATGCTTCATATGTCAAAATCCAAGAAGACATAAAACTTTTGAAAAAATATACTGTAGAAAAGGTTTTCTAGACAGTAAAAGTCAAATGAAATAATTGACATAATATCCGTATCATCTACATATAATGTACTCAATGGAAATACTCCTTTTTCCCATACCCAGGACTTCATTTTAAGTATCTGACCCATACCTAGCCCTTAGTTAAGAAAAATTTGAGCCACAATCATCTCCACCCCACCCCAGGCACTTTTCTGTTTGGAGGCCGTACTTACTTTTCTCTATCTGTTTTGTAGATCCGAGCAATCTCAGGCACTAAGGGATCATCTGGATTAGGATCACACAACAGAGAACAGATGGACAAGAGTACTGCAATGAAAAAAAAACCCCTACAAATTAGCACAGAATAAAAGCAAAGGATTCAAAGAAACATGAGATGCCAACATGTTTAATTCTTAGAATTAAAAAATTCTAAGAATCTATTTATATTGCAGTGCCTAGCAGCTTTGTAAGCTCTACCTATCTTTATAGTAATAGTAATAAACAAAGATTCTAAGATTTCTCTATCCTTAAATCCTTAAGGAAACTGGCCCAGGCTGGTGAATGAAGTGACTTGCTCACTATCCCCAGTTAGTGAGTAATTAGAGGGGAATTAGAATCAGGTCTTCCAAATCCCAGACCAATAACACTTTTCATAGCCCATAAAGTTCAATTTTTAGAAGCCCACATTCAGGGATAAATGGCTTTCAAAATTGCAAAGACAACCACACTATTGTGAATGTTCTTAGAAAAGACAACCATGAAATCCAAGAATCACTGCTTTCTCAATGGTAGGTATTACATTCAGATGCAATAGATCTGTTTCATTTTTAGTTGAAAACAATTCAGTCTAAGACCATAAAGGCTAGCACTTGCCCCCAAATAGGGCTGGCCACACTGATTACAGAGGGTACAACATACTTCTACTAAGGTCTCAAATTCTTTTCAGTGGTGATTTAGAATCTTATCTAAGCCATTTCTTCAGTGACAACCTGGAATATACCAGACAAATCTCAAAAGTACAATTTCCTCTGCTAAATCTGTTGTTAATTTATGTATTCCTTACTGAACATAAAAAGGAAGCCAAGGCCACTACTTACATTAAATGCAGTGGCTTCTGATATACTGAAATAAATTCCAATCCTTCTCTTCTGATATTAGCAGAACTCAGCTCTAATGTTCTGTAGCAAGAAACAGTGACTCTGATCCCACTTTACTCCCAAAACATCAAATTCAGCAGGAAAAGGATTTATTCATTTTCCTATCAAATCTGTTCTATAGAGATCAAGGGCTTTTGAGAGGTGAAGAAAATGTTTACATGCCCTTTATCATTTGGTTTGTTAACAAAAAAGCTATTTCCTTGCCTTAAGAGTATATGGAAAATAAAAAACATCAGGAAAGATGTTTTCTGACTCTTCATTCCTGTTGCCCACAATTCTGGCAGATGGCATTCCCAAAACATCTTCTCTTCCCATTGTCAGGTGTATCACCTGATGCCCTCTTCAAGCACAGAACACTCTAACAGCAATTAGGAATGATTTCATGTATATCCTGGAAATGACAACAGGGAGTTATAGATTTTTGAATGTTCATGAAATTACTGACTACAGAAAGAAGAAACTTGTCCAGCCTATCAAACTGGCAAGAGTACTATTGATTCTTCACCTAAAATTAGACATATTACCTAATTAGTATCAGTTACAAATGTCCTTTATTTATAATTCTGATTATTTCAATAAAGTTACTTTTAAAAGAAAAATTTTAAAATAACTTGTCTTTCTTTCCAGGAAAGTAAGTTGGGGTGGTGGTTATCTGGAGCTAGTGAAAGGACTCCTAGTATACTACTTAGTTCCTTTAATTTGTAGAAAATTGATTTTGACTTATAATGTACTACATCTTCTTTAGCTATATAGAGGATAACTCTTATTTCTACAACCTGCATAGACTCTTCATTTTCATTAGTGTCATAACCCACAGTCACTTCCAATTATAAAAACATAATCAAGGGGCTTTATGGCACACTTATCGGCTTAAATTTTCTGTATATTTAGCTATATAACATATATACTCAAAGTGAAGGGAATTTAGAGTTGAAATTACTGCTCTTGAAAACAGGCTATGTTAAGGGATAATTAATATTACACACAGAATTCAGGCCTTTCACAGAACTGCTTGCCTATACATTCAATTTACCAAAGAGAGTCATTAAAACATTAAACCTAGGTACCCTGATATAAACAAATTCAATAAAATGGCACTGCAATTATTTTTAAAGATAGCTACACAAATAGAGAACATAAATCAAACTAACAGCTCATATGATTTAGAATAACTGAAAAATCAAGGTACAGAATCAGAAGGAAAAAAATCTGTGGTAACAACTTCAGGTATCTGGACCTCCCCATCCCACTGCATTGCCCCACCTCCCCAACTCTGGCCAAATACTCCACCTGTCTTGGTCCCATTACTTTATTAGATTTATCTCTACTGCAAACTGCTACTTTGTGAAGGAGGAGCAAGCAGGCCAGGAAACCATGGGAAGTATATGAACATTTTCACAAGTAGCCTGTGAATTGCAAGGGGCCTACAAAAAAGAAAAGGGGCCACTTATCTGAAACTATTTCAGTCACAATTTTAAAAAATGTAGTCCTCTGGTTTTGTTTTTATTTTTGCCTAGGATCTCAGCAATTTTAATTTAATGTCCCAGAGTTCTAATTTCCTTTAAAAAAATTAATGTCAGAGTATACAAGTTTTGTAATAGTTTTAACAGGACAAATAATACAACACTTTTTCAGTATCTTGAGTGACTCAGTTGTTTGAGTGACTATAAGAAACCAGTTGATTGTGCACTTTTGCTTTTTTATCTTCATAATAACAATGAAATAATTATTATCATCCCTATTCTATAGGGGAAAAGAAGAGGAACAGAAGCTAATTTTGTCTTAAGTCTCATTCAATAAGAGGTAAGGCTGAGAAGTGAATACAGGTAATTAAAACCAGAATCCATGCTCTTTAATATGAAACTATACTGCCTCCTGCCTACATGTACACATTAAAGGAATCATAAAATATAAGATAGAAAAGAAAAATATTTTCACTCACCAAATTTCACCACCCAAATACCCAAACTATTTCTTTGTAGCTATTTAACATACTTTTATATATATCTCAAGTTACAATATAAACTAATTTTATCTTTTTTCTTCTGCTTTTTTCAAACAAAGTATTTTCTCATTTTCCACAATATTTGTAAGGATCAATATTCTTTTAAATGCATTAGCTAGAACTGATCTATTTCTTCCTTTATAGTTGGCCCTGTAATTTTTGAAGGAAATTACTTGTGTAATTAGGTCTTATGTAAAAGATCTGGATCTTTCATCACAAAATCAGCAACTAACTTTCTCTACACATTTTCAAACAAACACATGTGCAAAAAACTATATTCCAAAGATTGTTAAGATGTTCAAATAATAATTTATTTTCCAACCTATACCTGAATAGCAAAATGGACGTAATCACAACAAAGAGTAATACATATGTTTAAAAATCCAACTCTCTCCAGTAGTCTCAAGATCTAGTCAAGAATAAGGGGGATTGTTACCTCTTCTTAAAAGGAATATGAGTAGTCTTTTCAAAAATAACCTTAAAATGACTTTTAAAACACAGCTGCTTTGTCTTTGATATTGACACCCATTCCATTACCTTTTGAAATAGTTAGTGCTGGAGACCACTGTGACCGTAGAATATCAAGACAAATGCTGCCATTACTGTTAATATTTGGATGATAAATTCTTGTTGTAAATGCAACCTACAGGAAAAAAAATTTTTTTGTAAACTGGTTTATTAGTATCATAAAAGCACATTAAAAACAACTGACATATTCCAATTACCTTAGGTGGTTTGAAGGGGTAATCTGTTGGGAAATGAATTGTCAAGAAAAATACTCCACCCTGATAGGGACTGTCGTTCTGTTAATAACAAGAAATGTGGGATTAAAATGAGTGAATTACAAAAACTATTTATTTTGAAATTAATCTGAGTACTTACTGGCCCCATTATTGTAGCTTGCCAATGGAACACTGAAAGAGAACAACAAAAAAATTACCATGAAACAATATTCACACTGTACCTACATCATAACAACGTATCATTCAGCATTTAATACCAGTTCATTTATAAGCAATATAATGAGTCCTGGGCAGGGTGAGAAATCTGAATCAAGTATGAGTCTGAAGAGATAAATTACTAGCATGGGCTGGAACACTGCTCAGTGAAAAAGTATTTGGACTGAAACTTGAAAATTCACAACAGGGAGAAAGAATTCTTGACAAGTCCCAAAGTTCCACTTTTAAATAGGTATTTCCTCACCTTAAAAAGTAAAAAATAACCAAAAGATTCAACTCTTTGAGTTGAGTGTTACATCATTTCCCCAACACAATTATATATAATTTACTCCTTTTATAATACCGATATAGAGAAGAAATGTGAAGTCAAAGTAGAAAATACTCAGATTAGGAAAGAATGGTTTTTACAATGAGAAAAAATTTCTAGGAGCTCTCCTGTGTAGGTCTTTAGAATTACTGGTTCCTCAATAAAGAAAACATTAGCTGAAAGCTGAAAGCTTGATTACAAGCTCTAAGGATAACCCAATAAATTATAAAGTTGTTTAATAAGGAAATCTCTTCAAACTGCAAAACACGATGCTTGTTCAACTTCAAATGTGGTGTATCTAAGTACAATACAGAGACCAAAAGCCAGAGTTTTCTTACAAGCAAGTTACTCGGTACTTAATATTTATACTGGGATCTTGGCAAACTAAGGGAGCTTGTCAATGAGATTATATGTGAACGACCCAAACCAGCTAACTTTTGTCAGGAGGAAATGTGAAGAATAAGCCATATGAAAATCCACTGGAATGTCAGTCCAAATCCTTCTGACCTCTTGCATATGACATTGTCCCTATGGCTGTTTTATTCATCACTGAGGCCCAAACCAACAAATAGCAGCTTGTTTATTAGGAATTAAAAATAAAGGATAGGTATTGCTGAGGCTCCCCATCTTAGACTACCCAATTTCTGCCAATCAACTTCTCAATGGGTTAAGTAGCTAAGGAGGAGCCAGTAAGACTGGTTCTAGTATCTTCAGCAAAGATCCTATAAAAGACCCCTAATGTTCTGTTAAAAGAAACAAAGTCTCACTTTTTTTAAATATAGATACAATTTGAGTAAACAAAGCACAGTGATAGGTGGAGTAAACAACCCCAGTAACAAGGCTGAAAAACCATGTTAGACAAAAGGGCAACCAAGCTACAGGTCAAAGAATCCTGTTTTAAAACAGGTCTTGTATGCCTGGCCAGGTAGCTCAATTGGTTAGAGCATTGTGCCGTGTTCAATACCTGGTAAGAGCACATACAAGAAATCAACAAATGAATGCATAAATAAGTGTCTCTCTCTAAAAATCAATAAATAAAAATAAAATGGGTCTTGTTCTTCCATTTAATCCTTTTATATTGTTTAAATTTGTGGCTATAAATGAGAGGCTATAATATACCTGCATTCTTGCTCAAGATTGCAAGAGTTAAAAAAGTTAAGGAATAAGAAAGCACCTGGAAAATAAAATACACAAAAACCAAGACATGTTAAAAAGTTGTTAAATTTTCCATTATTTAGAAGCCCTATTTTTTTCTTCTGAATCTTTCCAAAATCAATCCTTCTCTTGTTAAAAATATGCCTAGATTTAAGAAGTTACTAGGAGAATTTAAATCAGAACAAATTTTTTGCTAAAAGTAAAATACTTCTTTTTTTGTGATTCTTCCTCTGCAGAAAACAAAGCATATTTTATGTTCAATGATTAAAATCCCCTACAATTTGGACAACGCAGAACCCCAAAGAGGTTTGGAGCAGAAATTCTTGCAAGCTGGCAACTAGAACATTTATGATCAGTATTTTCAAGTAACACTGCAATCTCTTTCATCCTCAGCACTCCAGAAAGTTGAAGACATTCTAGTGTATCTAAGTAAGATTCTTATACTAAGAACTTTTACAAGCAACATCAATACACTATTTCATATATATTTGGTTAGTAAATCATATCTGTTTAATATGCTATAACAGATCTAAATGAATATAAAGAGTTGGTATTTAAAACTCTAAATAAAAACCTATTAACATTCAAGTGCTAACCTTTATTTAATGATTATTTGTCTTCACTCTTATAAACAAAGGTTTAATTACTGTCTCCAGAAAAATGAATGAAAACACACATTCATAGGGCTAAATCTCTTCAACAGAAGGATGAAAAAAATTGCTAATGTAACAACTGAGATCAATGATATTTGTTGCTTGTTGAAATAACCTAGAATCTACAAAAGGCAGAGAAACACAAACTAAAAACACATTAAGATGAATTTAATATTGAGTGCATTTGAAGATCTTCCATTTAAATCTTAATTGAGTATTCTGCCACATTGGTTAAAAAATAAGGATACCTAATGGAATCAATGACTTAAGGTCTGCCTCTGGAACTCTCCTAGACTCCTGACTCTCCTAAGAGGAAGTATAAAAAAGGGAAAAGGTAGTGAGAGAATATCTAACCTGCCTCAAATTACAATGATTTTGTAAATAGCTCAAGAATCACTAGATTCCCAGGAGAAGGAACTCCAGAAATAGTTTCTGGGTGAAATATTTGGACATAAGCATAAAATAATGCAATATTTTACATAAAAACTATTTCAGAAATCTTTCATTTAAGGATCAATCTTAGGGGCTGTTCAAAATAAAATTTCATGGAACTGAATTTAAAGTTTTGATAGTTGAAAAATGGAAATTCCAACTACCACCTTGGTTTGCTGTTGTCAAACCAAATTACACATCTGAAAGCTACACTCTCTTATGAGAGTTTAATGTGAAGTTCATGTCTCAATGATTACTCCTTAGTATGCTCAAGTATGAATCCTCAAGGCTAAAAGGGATAGCAAGAATATCTGTTATAGTTTGAGACTAAATCTCAAGAGACCTACATTTGAATTCAAGTACAGATCTGTGGAGTTCCACTCATGAAGTATTCAAAACAGAAAATGAAATAGATTATATGACCAATAAATCTTCAGCTTACTTCTTTTCAGAAAATACACCTCTTCCTGCTTACCAGATCTTTGCAGAAAGAGGGGGAAAATGCAATCGTACTTTAAAATCTGGATATTTAAAAACAAAGCCTTTTATTATGAAATTTATTATTAAATGTTATTTTAAATGTAAAATAAAGACTACTTTATTCTTACACTACATATCAGTAACATGGTGCTGAGGAATTTAGACCTAGGATAGTCAACAGGAACTCAAAAAATTTCATTTTGACCAAGTTTCTCTCTTCCTAGGCTTAAATTCTGCCTCCTTATGACAAAAGAAGATGAAAAGTGCATTTAGCTATCTAACTACACTTTGTTTTATTGTTATGTGGTTCATCAGGAAGACTTAAGACTTTCTGACAGTAATTCATCCTCAAATGGCCTCAAACAACCACAAAAATTTAATATCGGCAAACACTACCTAGGTGACCAAATGTTAAGAAAGTTATTTTGTCCCTCAGGAGATGTTCCTTACTCTCTTTTACAAGACAGATACTGTTGACAATTTCATAGTATGTGACTCAAGACATTCGGAACTAAATAGGAAGGCTAGGAGTTCAGGAAGAGGTTATTATTTTTTAAATAGTTTTACTGAGAGATAAACTAGACACCATACGATTCATCCACTGAAAGCATGCAATTCAATGGCGTTTAGTACCTTCAGAGTTGTACAGTGATCCCTACAATTAATTTTAGAACATTTTCATCATCCCCAAAAGGAACTCCATATCCATTAGCAGTCACTTCCCATTCCCTCCAAATCTTCAGCCTTGTGCAACTATTATCTATTTTGTTGCTATGAATTTGTCTATTCTGGATATTTCATATAAATGAAATGATATAATATGTGGCCTTTTGTATCTGACTTCTCTCAGCATGTTTTTAAGGCTCACCCATGTTGTAGTATATATCAGTACTTCATTTCTTTTATTGCAAAATAATAATCCATTGTGTCCACCTACCACAATTTATTTATCCCTCCATTAGTTGTTGGGCATTTGGGTTATTTACACTTTTTGGCTATTATAAATAATGCTTCTATGAACATTAACGCAGAAGTTTTTGTATGTACATATGTTTTCATTTCCCTTAGATATGCCTAAGAAGTGAACTCACACTGGGTCCTATGTTTAACTTTTTGAGGACCTGCCAGACTGTTTTCCAAACTGACTGTACTATTTTGTGTTCCCATCAGCAAATATGAAGGTTCCAATTTCTCTACATGCTCATCAACACTTGGTATTATTTGACTTTTAAAAAAGACTTTATTTATTTATTTTTAGAGAGAGAGGAAAGGAAGGAGAAAGAGAGGAAAAGAAATATCAATGTTTGGTTGCCTCTAGTGCACCCCTTGCTGGAGACTTGGCCCGCAATCCAGGCACGTGCCCTGACTGGGAACTGAACTGGCAACTTTTCGGTTCACAGTCCAGCAGTTAATCCACTGAGCCACACCAGCCAGGACTTATTTGACATTTTGATTCTAGCCATCCTAGTGGGTGTAAAATGGAATCTCTGTATGATTTTGATTTGCATTTCCCTAATGACTAAATGATGTTGGGCATTTTTCCCATGTGCTTCCTGGCCATTTGTTTATCTTCTTTGGAGAAACGTTTATTTATATCCTTTGCCCATTTTAAAATTTGGTTGTTTATATTTTGTTTTATAGTTTTTATAAATATATTTTGTATAAACATTCCTTACCAGAAATTATGACCTGCAATTTTTCTTCCATTCTACATGTCTTTTTGCTTTTTTAAAGATATCATTTGCAGCACCTGGATTTTAAATTTTGATGGATTTTAAATTTTGATGGATTCTAATTTATCTATTTTTTATTTTATTGCTTATACTTTGGGGGAGTTTTGTTTACCTCTCCAGAGTAACAACTTTTCTATCTGAGAAAGAAATATGATAGTTTAATTATAGAAGCAAAGGCAAATTATTTTAGCATACTGAAGAGAACTTCAAAAATGAAATCTAATCCCCAGACTTCAAACACTTTAAGATCAGCTATTCCCAACTTTAAGAAATTTGCTTGAAATAAAACCACTTTTTCCATGAAAGAGCATATGAATGCAGGTACACTACGTAATACTGTGGAATGACAAAAGTAGAATCAGAAAACTTGAATATGAGTCCACTTTGGGAACTTTCGTAAGTGTCTCACTACATTTTTCTCTAAAATAGTTTACAACTTCTACTCCACTCACCCAAAATAACTGTTATTGTGAAGCTTAAATGAGATAATGTTTGTTTAAGTACTTGGTCTGTCTAATTTGGCATCAAATATTATAGTCATTCATACTGGACAGGTCTCAATGTAATAATGTAAATGGAATTTTTCATCACATGTACTTGGCCTTATAATTTATAAAATCTGTTTTATCTGTAAAGCAATCCTTATAGTAGGCCCTTGCTTTGATTCCTAACTGTTCAGCAAACTGAGAATACCATTCTTAAGAAATATCAGGAAAATAGAATTTTAAATACAAGCTAATATAATCTCATGTTTACTTGTCTTAATATATATACTTCTTTTACACAAATATTTCCAAGTATGGTCATTTTTTCTATTTGCTAAATATTACATTTTTTTGTGAATTAGTTTTGTGTCAAAAAAATCAGTCTTATTAAAATATCTTTCCTTTTAAAAAGGCTAGAAAATGGTATAAGGGGATAAAAGCTATGTTGAGACAAAGTAGAACAAAAGGAAATCATCCAACATGTGGATTAAGACTTAATGAAGTACTTTAGACAAGATTAAGCAAGAAATTGGACATTAAAAATAAGCAAACTGTACTTGTGTTCACAAATACGAGCCAGGAGACAGACACACACATATGCGTGATCATCCTTAGTATTATCTTACTTAAAGAACGGATACCTAGTTGTAGGTAAATGCTCAAATGTTCTACCCCAAAGTACCCAAACTGGGTGAAGGATAGGTAGGAAGAGGTCAGAATAACTGCACAGACAATGCCTGGCAAAAGAGCTTCAAAATGTAATGAGCAATACAGAAGATGATGGGATACACACAGAACTGCACCTTCCATGGGGAAGTAAGGGTAAACACTGCCTCTGTCCTACAGCAAAATAACTTTAGGAGTGTTTATTCATTAGTTCCAAACCCCACCCCTTCCCGAGGCAGGCTGTTAAACTGTTTTACTCCATCATTCCTTTTAAATACTTACTATCATCTCCAACAGGACCTGCTGAACACTGTGCTGGGGGGTCCCGTGCCAGGTCATTCAATTCCTTAAGAGAGGAGAAAGAAGAAATGTATTCAACATGAATCTGTTACCCATTAATACACTTTTTCACTGTTACCAATATTCTCTCTCTCACTGGTAAAGCTTTTTCAGAAGCACTCCTTTAAACTTAGAGAAGATTAAAGTATTTTAGACTCTTGAATACAAATGTATGTTTTAAATAGTGGACCATTTTTGCTTACAGTTTAATAGGTAAATATAAGGAAGGTAACCAGAATTATGTACTAAACAGCCACAAAAACTGTTTTAAAGTAAAAACTACATTTAGTAGTTTTCAAAAAGGATTCACAGCCAGTTTTTCTACCTCAAAACTACTAGGTTACACTCGAGACAACTTCTTGAAGACATAAATGTTCCAAATTATACGGGATCATCAGACAAGATGCTGACATGTTTTCAGATGATATCTACTACCAGGGTTCCAAGGTAGTAGGAAAAAAACTTTTAAAAAACTGTATTAAAAAGGCTGACTGGAAGTGATAAAACCCATCATAAAGTTTTATAATCAGAGATGGGTCTACCTGTAGTAATTCTCTACAACCAGATGCCAGTTTCTTAGCTATTTTAACATAAAAGCCCACAAACTTGAGATGTGTTCCTGGGCCGGGATGTCTGAAAAGCCCCAAGGCAGAAAATCATCCTATATTCCTCCTCCCCTTAACCTGGTATTTGAGATGGAAATCAAACTTTGGGGAAGGACTAGTTTTAGATTTTATTTTACAACTAAAACAGTAAAATATAGTATTTTTAAAGTACAATAAAAACCACTTAGACTCTTATACAGTTAATAAAGATACGGTTTTAACATTCCAAATATTATATACTTTTTAATTTGCAGTACCATAGTTAACTCTATGTAAGTCTTTTCCTCTGAGGTGACTTATTCAACCAGTCATTTTGGTACATCAAATCATTGTTTTATCCTATCTGTAAGCTTGGAGGACAAAACATAAAAGTACAGAAATAAAGTTTGTCTTTTTAAAGTGTTGAAATTGAGATAAAGATTTAATAATATTTACTCTCTCTACTATCTCAATTTTTGGATTTTGTGCCTCTAAACAAAAGAGATTCCTTTCCATCTCAAGAAAAAAATTACTTATATACAATGCCCATTCCCAAATGCTTTAATACAGGTCAGTATAACTAAGAATGCTTACTTGATTTAAACACAAAAGTTATCTATTTCTTTTGACTAACAGCAATAGATGGCTACTGAAATATAATCTGAATTGAACAAGCTATGCTGAAGTCTTGCCATGTTCATTAAATGTAATTTTACTTGTGATTTATCCATAATATTTCCCTTCTTTCAAATTAAGTCATGGTGCCCTGGCTGGTGTGGCTCAGTTGTTGAGCGCTGGCCTGTGAAATAGGTCACCGGTGAGGGCACATGCCTGGGTTGCAGGCCAGTCCCCGCTTGGGGGCATGTGATCAATGTTTCTCTCACACGCTGATGTTTCTCTCCCTCATTTCTCCCTGCCTTTCTCTCTCTAAAAGTAAATACATAAATTTTTTTTTAAAAGGCATCATTCAAATTAAGTCACCCTTTCCCATGCTGACTGACATCAAGGTTTAACAATGAAAGCTAAATTTACTTAAGCTGAATATAAGATCCATCAGTCCATTTCATGAGCCAGTATGATATCATTAATTTTAAAAATCTAACCCAAACTTAGGCTAACAGACATTTAACACTCATTCAACACTTCTTGGTTCAAGGCATGGCAATGGATTAATCTCACAAGTATAATACCAAGTAAAAGTAGTCAGACATGAAAAGACTATTATGTTCTGAGGGGGAAAAAAAAAAGACTACATTCTGTATGATTTTATAAATATGACACTCTAGAAAAGGCAAACTTATACTGACACTAAATATCAATAGTAGTTCCAGGGGAGAGAGGGAATTGGAGGGGATTGACTATAAAAGAACATAATGACAATGGGGCAGGGAGGTGATAGAAATGTTCTATCTACATCATGACTTTGGTAGAGACTGCAGTATTGTGTACATATTTATTAAACTTAAACTAATACAACTGTTGAATTTTATTGTATGCAATATGTATTTCAAAGTTGTTTATTTTTTAAAAAGTATATATACATCCATCTTTGCATATGCATAAAATAACTGAAGAATATGCAAGAAACTAGTTTACAGTACTTGTCTTCAGGAAGGAAAGCTTGCTTTGGGGGTGAGAACGGGAACTATAATATCCTTTTATACCTTTTAAATTCTATAACAAGTATATTTACTTCCTTTCTGAAAAACAAATGACTAGTTTTTGGCTATAAATTTGGGTTACAATAAAATAAAAGATAGTAACCATTTGTAGGATATTCAAAATAATGAAAACACAGACTGAATAAACATGAAATTTGATGTCTCTGCATCATGATGAAAAATGAAGCTGAATCTTAAATTTAATAAAGGCATTGACCTAGACAGATCACCTGGGCAGAAAAAAAAATCCCAATATATCAGGGCTGTTTTTTGTTTAACACCTGGCTTTATCATTTGGCTTTATATCTATACATTAATTTATTCCACCTTTTATTCTAAAAAATACAACATTACTAGGATTGAGATTAGGGCTAGGACAAAACAAAAAAACCAAGCAACTATTCTATTTATTTAAAAACTTTTCTGTAGAAAGAACAAGAGAAATAAAGTATATATAATTAAATTTAGAAAAGAGGGACAATTAAGGTAGAGAATCCTCAATTTCTTTTCAAAAAAATTTTTTTAATTTTTACTTTCTATAGAGAGGAGAAGGGAGGAAGAGAAACATCAGTGTGTGAGAGATACATTGATCGGTTGCCTCTCACACGCCCCCAACTGGGGAACCTGGCCTGCAACCCAGGCATGTGCCCTGACTGGGAATCAAATCGGCAACCTTTTGGTTCATAGTCCAGTGCTCAATCCGCTAAGCCACACCAGCCAAGGCAATAATCCTCAATTTCTAAAAAGATTTCAGTCTAACCTTCTTTGAAATCTAAAAAAAAAATTTAAAATAAAGTTTATTTTGGGAGCAAAGTATGGATTTTACTGAATGGTCCTCAATTTAAAATATTTCCTTGATGCCGTACACTCCCCTTGTTTCTAGGTACACAGAACTACTATTTTTACAGATTAAGGTTATAAACTTTGATTCTCTCCAACTTTCCTGTTTCTCATTTTAGTTCAAACAGCCTGCAAATCTTATACCTATTAATTTGAATTTTCTATGAATTTATTTTTAGATTTTATTTATTTATTTTTGGAGGGAGGGAGAAAGAGAGGGAGAGAAACATCGACGTGTGAGAGAAACATCAACTGGTTGCTGCCTGCACACCCCCAACTGGGGACCTCGCCAGCAACCCAGGCATATGCCCTGACTGGAAACTGAACCAGCAACCTTTCTGTACACATGCTGACACTCAATCCACTGAGACACACCAGCCAGGAGTCTATGAACTTTTTAATATATTTCCTACTACTATCTTTTTGGCTCAGGAATATGATTTCCAATGAAGAAATATTTAGGGATAATAACAATGTCTTATATTATTATTATTCCTTAAGAACACCTATTTTCCAAAGGATCAGCCCTTATTTAAAATGAATGACTACTGCCCTGACCTGTGCAGTTCAGGTGGTTGGGCATGCTCCCCTAAAGTGAAAAGTCACTGGTTCAATTCCCAGGCAGGGCACATGTCTGGGTTACAGGTTGTGTCCCCAGTCGAGGCACGTAGTAGAGGTGATCCATTGATGTTTCTTTCTCACATCAATGTCTCTCTCTCTCTCAGAAATGAAATACTGTCCTTAGAAGAACACCAACACCTCCAAAAGCCTTAGATATTTCTGTATCATAGCATTATTGCAAAAAGAAAGACGACTTCCTAACCCTTAGAGTGGTGGTGGTCCTACAAAGGATATACAGATTTTCCTTCCACTGTATCCCTAAGTACTCAAGTTAGGTCATTAGTTGGTAAAAAGTAACATTTCTATTAGCTATTTTTAAATAACCCTCTTTCTCTATCTTAACAATTACAAAACAAAATACAGATGGCACAGAATAGAGATCTGCCTTCATCCTATTGCATAAACTGAATGGAAAAAGATGGGAAAATGAGAGGTTACAGTTAATTTCATAGAAAAAAGCCTCTAAGTCAAGTTTTAATATTTCTGAATACTGCTATATAAATATCTTTGGTAGTGATATTCAGAATATGAGAAGATTTAAGCAGATTATTACTCAGAGAATTATAATTTCAAAGTCAGAAAAGATCATTGAGACCAAAGTATCTAACCCAAGGAAGATATTAGTAATTAGCAGAGTAAGGAAGTGGTGTTCTATAATACTATACAATGTTCTTTCTATTAGATCACGCTTCTTTAGTCTGGATCTAAAATACTAGAAATGTACAAGCTAGAATGTCTGAGAACCTTTATGTTGCCCCGGAAATTAAGCTAAACCTTTAGGAAGACTGAACTGTAAAGAAAGAATAGCTAGACCAGTAGTAGTTTTCAAAAATGAGGTCCTGGCACAGCAGCGTCAGTATCACAAGAAAACATTAGAAATGCAAATTCTCAGGCTCCAACCAGATTTATTGAATCAGGAACTGTAGAGATTAACCTAACAATGTGTATTTTAACAAGTCCCCCAGGAAATCATGATGCACACTAAATCTTAATAACCCTTATGTTTGACAAATTAAGCATCAGAAACAAAAGACAATGCCAGAAAACTGACTACTTAGCAAGATGGGAAAGGAAATGGAGGTGAAGGGCAAAATGATAGTACAAATGAAGAATTCAAGAAAGGGATGAGACTTAGAAACATTAAGACATGTTCCATATTTTCAAGACACGAGGGAAGGGACGTAGTCCAACATTACCACACTACTGCAATCTTTCTGCCGCTGCAACAGATATTAACTTAATTTTTACTACTTGCTTAAGTGTCCTTATAGTACTTGAAGCTAAAATTTGAAAATAATTGC